AATGCCATTAGTGATGATAATTAAAACAGAAAAAATATTCTAAGTAAAAAATAAAAAAATTAGAATACTGAAAAAAAAACTGCAAGAACTCCGATAGTTTGAATCCATTTTACCTTAACATAATACTAAAGTTTACTATATATATATATATATATATGCCAGCTCACTTCCTACCTTTTTGGAATGACTACTTAGTGAGTGAATATCTCTCCGGCATTAGATATTTTCCTGTTAAGAAAAGAAACAAATTGGTCATCAGACGAGTTTGTTTGTGACCAAAATCCGAGATGCTTTTAAAACATTTTGGTTATCAACTTATCTTACTTTCTGATTTTACTCTTGATAACAGTCTGCATTTGTGTCGGTTGATTACACGCTTATATTTCAGTGCTGCTATATTAATGTTTTTGGAGTTAGTTAAATTTCCTTGTCAAAAATTTCGTAGGATAGATATGTCTAATTTTTTTTGTCATTGATAGCGCATTTATATTCTGGGCAGACAGCATTCCAACCTTTTCCAACCATTCGTGAATTGATGTTGTTGTAAAGTGCTCCGTGACGATTTAACTAATAGCTATGGATTTTTTTCCGGATATACCATACAGAAAAACTGTGACGTATGTAAGAAAAAATGAATAAGATAATCAAATTGCATTTATCAGGACAGTTTACACTATAGTCTATGCTTAATTAACACTAGTATCGTTAAGAAATGACCATTAATTTGAAGCTTCACTCAGTGAAAAATTCTCAAAGGTTGTAGAAGAATTCAGCTGGAAATTGAGCCGTTAAATAATTCACTTATTTGTCCTTAAATTTCTGTTATCCGGATGAACCAGAAGTCCTGAAGTACAAGGCAGATCGTAATAATGTTGAAAGTAACACTCAACCTTCTAGTTACTTTGTCCATTAGCACATCGTTAACCATTACGGTTATGTTGCTGTCGTTGTCGTCTGGGTGACCGGGGTAGATTACAGACTCTCCAGTTGACAATCTTGATGATCCACATCCATCCATCTGCTCTCGCAGATTCCCATTTCTTCTGTGCCATTTCTTTGGCCACCTGGGCAGCCTTCCCAGCCTCGTACACTGTACGTAGACTTAACATCGCCATTCTTATTCTTTCTTTCATCAAGAGCAGACACATCGGCTAGCTGACTGGCTTCCCGAAGGCTTTCACCAGCCCTCGTCGTTTCGCTTCTCCGATTCCAGCGGAAAATAATATTGTTATTTGAATTTTCTGTATTTTCAATATATTTATTGTGCTTTGAAGTTTCTCTAGCAGTTTGATAGCTTTTGTGGTGTAGGGTCGCTCGCTAGCCTCAGGCCCAACCCTCCCTCTTTATCCGGGTTCGGGACCGGCTAGAAAACTAGCGAGCTAGTTAACTAGGCGAGGTTAAATTAAAATATTGCAGAGAGAAATAACAACATCGTTTTCATAGAACAACATACTTTATTCGAATTTGAAAAAATAACAAACGGTGTTTCATTTAAATCAACCACAATTACTTTGTTTATTTGTGTTCGTTACAAATATTCATTGTTGAAATCCCTTGGCATTTTAAAGGAGCAATAAATGTGGTGCTCAAGCATCTATCAAATTTCTCTTAATGATGTTGTTTCTGCAAAAGGAACTCAGGTTGAAACCATATTTTTATGACTTTTTTCACAACTGCCAGTATACGAATTTTATTTTATTATTATTTTTTGATAAATAACTAGTTATTTTAATGCATGATTCATTTTATTCAACCTAGTTACCATTGTATACTGTTTATTGTTGAGATATAATCTTTGGGAAAACTTTCTGCTAGTAAATAGTTGACAGGTGTTGCTTTTGAAGTATAATAACTAAAATGGAAGAATTTTCACTGTTGTGTCAACAGCTAGTTAACTAAAATATACAGAGGAAGTTCACTGACAAACACTGCAATGTATTATGGTAAAAGTGAATTGCTGCATGATAGAGAAAAGTTTATTTCTCCCTCAAAGTAAATGATATTACTAGTAGAATAAGGTACAAACTGAATGCTGTACTGAAGCGAACATTTCCAGCCGCCGAGCCTATATGTGTACATCAAACAAACAGTTGCTTGAGACAATGAAAAGTGGATAGATTACCGTCTCTTGTTACCTCCAACTGTATCCCCCAATATACATGCAGCGAAGCACATCGGAAAACCAGAGAGAAAGGTCACTGTCCACATTTCTGAGCATACCAGAAAACCTGACGGTCCATATACATTGAACAGTATGATTGCGAGCCATCTATTAGATCCTGGTCATATGGTGAATAGTCTGAAAGCGTTCAAAATAATTAGCAGGCAAAATAAACCCAGCCTACTACGACTAGATGAAACAATCGCCACTTATTAGTCCAAACCAAATTTGTGGATGCAGAAACAGACATGGTGAATTTGGAACCACCCTGGTGATTATACTTCCAAAACAAGGGAATACAATTTTTATTAAGTCATGTATTCTCCCTTATGTTATGTTTTGTATAAAAGAAACGTATTCCTACATCTGAGCATCATTCACGTTACTATTCTTGCAGTTACGTAACCTATTTGAGTGATATGCTCCTTCTATATGAAACTTCGTTTTTTTCCAGAAATTTGAACTCTGTCTTTTTTCAAGAATATCCGTCTCATTATCCTGTAATCAGTAAATCCTTTTAACTCTTAATAATTTAATAACTTACTTCCTTTCGGACTTATGTTACTTATATTTCCTATTAGTTAGTCTTTGTTAAGCCCGAAAAAAGTATTATTCAAATCTTTTTTTGAAATTTATATTCTTCGTATTGCAGAGCTTGTTGACAGGTGAAAAGAATTCACGAAATATTAAAAATAAGAGCTCATATCACCCCCATACACTGATTGTTCTTGCTTTGTTACCAAGTTTATTTATGGAGAAAACTGTATTGAGTACAATAAGTGAATTAATAAATAGTTCCATGTTGTTTTTAATTCATACTGTTGTACAGTGCTGCAGATACATGTGGTGATATAATACGTAGCATATAAAAGCAACCAACAAACAACTCTTACGATTGGGAAAAAACTTCCGTAGTTTTAGAGTGACTGAAATGACATATCAAATTTCCATTACACGCGAAATTTCATAAGAATTGTCTTCTGTCGAAGAAACTGAAGCTTTCTATCATTTTATGGCAAAATTTTGATTCAAAAGGGTGTGGTTTCCACTTTATGTGTGCTTATGGAGAAAGATGGTTTCCAAGATGAAATGTTTAACACATTTATTAAATGAAGTGTTTATGAATTTTTCCTTTGAAGAAAGCACAAATATTATTTTAAAGATAATTTAGTTGACTTAAACCGTAATTTTTGCACTGAACTTTATATTTTCAGTTAAGCACTTATTTTAAACTTTTCTAGTTACCGTGATGTATATATGATTTAACAAGAGTTTCATGCACTTGACGTTTAATTCCTCTCCTTCTTTTTGTTTAATCATATGTGATGGTGAAAAATTTTAGTGTTTAATTTATTAGCATATTTGAAAAATAATTCCGTACCGCTCTCTGTGGGAACCATCTGCTTGGAATTATAACCACAAAACTCCTTAAATATTCCTCAATCAATCTTTCACAGTTGTTTCAATTCTAAAATATATTTTAAGTCACTGCAGAAACATAGTTACTATTTCTGCTCAAAAGTATTGACCATAGGCAGACCTAGAAATTACATTGTTACTCAAAACGTAATAAATTTACAACTGAATGAATGAGAAAATTACAAAAACTGGGGTCATTTTGAGTAAGCTCCAATACTCTCTGTCTCTGTGAATAGTCTGCTTTAAATTCCTCACCTATACTGTCTTTATTTTTAGACTGAGTCTGATAGAATTGAGGGAAATATTTGTTGATTCAAAAACGCATTATTAAGGAGTTATGCTGCTATACCATGATACATATATAATTTGGAGTGCTTTTCATTGTGTATTTTAATTTAGTTATTCTAATATATTAGGTTAAATCCATATTTTTTTCGATGCAATGTTTGTGAATACCGATAAAAGAAAAAGAATCAGCTTTTTGAAACTACCTTTGGTTATATTTGCAACGTAAATGTTGAAAATTCTACATAACTTTATTTGCTGCTTTTTAAGCTTATGTGGAATATGTAAATGGTGACAGCGCATTTCGTTTCATCGTATTTGTTTTTGCAAAGATGCTTACTTTTACTGTGAGAGAGAATAATGGTTGAATATTCATTCTTTGATTTTTTTCGGTATATGGGACTCTAACATATTTTGCTGTTTTTTGGAGGTGGGGAGGGGGAGGCGAAATTATTACTCACGATAATGCTTAACTAACGTGTCAGCATTATATGAAATTATTTACTTTTTGAGGCAATTCGCTAACTTTTGGAAATAACAAATATGTAGTTTTCAAGCATTAGTTTTGTAGGGATCTTGTTTAATTGCTTGAAGGATTTCATTATAAGCTGACATCGGTCAGAAAACCATTAGGAAACCTGGGAGTACTGAACAGCTGTTTCGTCCTAGTTTGGGATTCCTCAGAAGTATGCACCCGACGGGGTTCGAACTAGGACCTTCTGGTTACAAGGTGAGCTTGTAGATCATTAAACCACTTGGACCTGATCCAAGCACGATCGCGTCGCAATGTCTTCTTCGATGAGTAACTGTCCTCACCTTCAACCTGCTGTATTCTACTGGGATTGAACCCCGGTGGATGCGTACTGCTGAGGAGTCCCAAACTAAGACGTAACAACTGTTCAGTACTCCAAGGTGTTCCAATGGTTCACTAACTGATGTCAACTCACGATGGAATCCTCCAACCAAATATTCACCTGTTCTACTTTCAACTGTACCTAACCAACAGACATATACACCGGAGTATGATTTGCAAACACAAAGCATACAACATGAGAAAACATGTTGTCAGAGTGTGTTTTACACATTGTTTATCTTTACATAATTTCAATATTCTCTTTTAACTTTTAATGAATAGCAATTATTGACTGGGAAACAGGTAAGCTTATACGACTTAGCTAATAGTTTTCTTAACATTCAATTTCTGTATAACATTCACATATCACAAATAGAAAATCTCTTAGTAGAAAGGATGAATTTATGACTACAATTCTCACATCATTGTGTATTCTTCATGTCATTCTTTCTAAAGTGTAGTATTAATAGCTGTAGCCTAGATGTAATGCAAACACATTTATGTACTAATAGTAACCATCGCCTTCTATTTATCTCTTATCATTTGTGATCTGTGTTCACTAAATGCACAAATGTTTGCATACATGCACACAGAATATTAGTATATAATTTGTATATATATTTAATAATTGTTTTCGTAGTATTTAGTATTCTGCATGAGTAATACATAAACAATCTTTCTAGTTTTACTTTATGTTGCATGTATAACCGTTACATTGTCACATATTCAAACCAATCACTTTAACATTTTCTGTCATCCATACTTGTGAGTGCTCAAACTGAATTATTCATTGATATTAGTATTCTTGATAGTGTTTGATTTGACATCTATCTCTTCCTTGTCATTAGACTATATTGTTCAACATAATGATAAATCTTTGTTTCAGATAGATCTGTATACTTTGGTTTTGATAAAGAAGGGACTTAAAGATACTATCCTGAAGACATCTATAAGTGAAGTGGATCCAGTTTATTGGTCGCACAACTGAAGTGTAAAGCTGTGAACAAAGATTTTAACTTGTCTGCAGGACATCTCTTCCTTACACCGAATAGTGTCATGTATATTTATTATATGACTCTGTAGAGAGCTAAATATGAAAGACAGATTCAGCGAAGAAAATTTTCTTTATCGACGAAATCATCTTCAGAGGCTGTACAGTCGTATTTATACTTGCAAAAATATATAGTGGTCTATTATTGAGTAATAGCGGGTGACATAATTGATATAATTACTCAGAAGTGGCTTTAGAAGTGAAAATTAAAAGTTGTAAATTATGTGGTACTCAACGGCACAAAGATAGAAATTTGATAAGGTTGAAATTGCTATTGAGTGAGAATAAAGTATTGAGTTCAATTACAAGTTGAAGAGGGTGTGAAAATATACAAAAGGAGCATATGAGAGTGATAATAGTGAATTAATTATTAAAGCAAAAGCAAACTAAAAGTGAAATTAGAATGAAAAGAAAAAATCAAAATATATTTTTATTTACAAGGAACGATTAGTGAAGAGGTTAAGACCAAGGTAGAATAAGAGACTGGACAAACTTTTTCTGTATACAGAGTTCAGGGTTGTATTGATGAATTGCCAGGCTCGCATATTTATTTTACTAAATATGAATTCTGATGCAATATTTGCCTACCTGAAATTTCATACAAACCTATAACTGTATTTTTTTCATCAGTGGCCTTTGGATATATCTGTAAAGATATAATGGAAGTGTCATTCAAAAGTCTCATTACTAATATATTGCACATGTGTTTTGAACAGAACCTATGGTTAGAAAAGATTATCACATTTGCTAATGATAAAGTAAACAGTAGCTGTAATCCAACTCTCTGAAATATCAGTTTCATATGCTTGTGAAAATTTAGTAGCTTTCTAAGACACTTGGAATTTCTGTATGATACTTATTGTTCTATTTTTTCTTATCCATCTGCCACTAAAACAACCATTCCCTGTAAAAATGTTACGTAAGAAAATATGAAAAATATCAAAGTGCACTGGGAAGATGAAGAACATTTGAAAAAAAAATAGATGTGAATATCACTCAGCCTACTGGTTTATAGCTTCACCAGATGAATTAGAAGCAACTTGATTTCATGTAATTCATATTTTTTCTTTCGATGCAATAATTTCGATAGTAGTCAACAAATCAGAAAGACTAAAAAGACTACCTTACAAGTAATACGCAATATTTGCAGTAATTGATCAGTTCAACCATTTTCCAACAGCCACTATTTGCATAGTTTGCTGTGCTGTTCACTGTTCTAGTGTGTGTGTGTGGACTAAATATTTCCGCTTTTACTTTCATTTGAGAAGAAAAATAAAATGATGCGTACAGAGACTATGCACACACACATTGTTAAAAAGAAAGTACAACACATTAGGTACTATTTGCGTTTGTAATACACAGATTATATCCATCAGTGGGAGTACATAAGTTACTCTGCACAAGACTTATCTTCTGAAAGACACTTATCGTTCTGGTTGAGAAAAATCTTCACAATAATTGTCGGTGGTAATATGTATTATTATTATTGTTCCCTTGGGTTCCTAGTGGAACATAGGGCTTCAACTGCGCGCCTCCACTTGTTTCTGTCTTCTGCTGTACTTTTCACTTGCATCCATGTTAGTCCATACTGTCTCAACTCTTCTTCACACGATCTCCTCCATGTCACCCTTGGACGTCCCACTCGCCGCTTCCCTTTCGGGTTCCACTCGAGGGCCTGACGCGCGATGTCACCGGTGGTAATATGTAGACGACAGTTAATATCACAGACAGAACTATATTCCTATATAGTATATCCAACAAATAAATTTAGTGTCGAATCACTTTTTATCACATAGTCTTATTTTTATCTTCACACTAACTTTAAAACTTATTAGCTATGATGTACAATTTCATTTGTATTGCTTTTTTCTTTTGCCTCGTCAACTTGCTTTAAATTTGAGGAATCTCAAAAATCATATTGTACATTTATCATTTATTCTGAGGTCTTCTTGCCATTCATTATACCAGCTACTGCGAATGCAAACTATCGCTTAATCATGGGCTATAGCTGTAATGGTAAATTTCTTTAGTTTAGCTCAAATAATATTTCAAGTTAGACTTGATGAAATATTTGTGTACACCACTAACTGCCAAGGTGATCACTGCTCGCTGAATCCATTTAGACAAAGTTAATGAAAGTGGATAGAGCAACGCAGAAACACATTATTCTTTTTCCATTGAGATAATGCAAGACTTTATTGACATCGAAAAAATTATTACTGATAAATTACATTTCATTCAATAAATAGTAGGAATTTAGATTATAGATTTTTCATCGAAACTTTCACTCAAACCTTTATTCATTTTTGAATATGACTGTGTTTTCATTATTCACAAATACCTCTTTCTAAATGAAAAACGGTCATCATATATATTCAAGCATCAAATTATCAACTGTTTATCACACATCACTGTAAATTATATTGCACGCCCGCTAGTTTTTCAGTTGTTCTATAATTTGCACAATAAACTACTATCTGTGAATATAATTTGCAGTATACGATCAATAGTCCCAACAGATTCAGTAATTTTAGAAGTATTAAGACAAAAAGGATGTAAAAACCCCGACCGACAGAAACAAGAACGAAACACCGTCAACGGGAAGAATTTGAAGGAAGTCACCTCGTTTACTTACCTTGGGCAGCATATGATTCATCTACAGGCAGTGCAGATGAGGATTATGTCGAATAAAGTGGAGATGGGTTGGACAAAAGCTGAGGAGACAGTTAGGTGACTTGATGCACCAGTTCCTCGAGTAGAACTCGAATGAGAAATAACGATTTGTGCATCCAAGAGTGACATGTAGGTGATTGTATGAGGTGGACATTTATAAGCAATCATTATTATTATTATTATTGTTCCCTTGGGTTCCTAGTGGAACATAGGGCTTCAACTGCACGTCTCCACTTGCTTCTGTCTTGTGCTGTACTTTTCACTTGCGTCCATGTTATTCCATACTGTTTCATCTCCTCCTCACACGATCTCCTCCATGTCACCCTTGGACGTCCCACTCGCCGCTTCCCTTTCGGGTTCCACTCGAGCGTTGGCCTGACGCGCGATGTCACTCAACGGCCTCCTCAGCGAGTGTCCAATCCATCTCCACTTTCTCCTGCATATTTGTTGGGCGATTGGTTCCTGTTTCGTTTGTTCCCATAGAGTCAGATAAAGATGACTGCAGAGAACAGGTTGAGATGGAGATGTGCTGCTGAATCCGTGTTTTACACCCAGAAACCAAGAGAACTATAATAATAATAATAATCTAGTTTAGACAGTTAATTCAACGATATAAATGTTCATGCTGTTCTTCCCATGAGTCAGCGAAAATGTTGTCTTATATTTGTGCACTTACCTGGTAATACAGTGAAATTATTCGTGTACAGGTATACATAGAAGTGCTATAAATCAAAAATGTGTACCGTATTTACCGTAATCAACAATACTAGTAATAGGATGAATAACAAAGGATCACAGAATTTCATCTCAGTGCAGAATACAGTATGGATTGACGGAATTCAATAAAAGAAATTCAATGTTGACGCTTCTTTTTCATTAATTATTTCACTGTCATTTATGCACTGAAAAGAGAACAAACAATCCGATTTATCTTCTACGCCTGTTTGTCGTATTGATAAACTTCATTTGAAAAATTGACTCTCATGACGAGTAGTCCATATTATTTATTATTCTTCTGAAGAATGTTTACTTACTGTCAAAACAGTTAAATGTTTCTAGTTTAAAGACAGTTATTTAATCAAAGTGGATCGATCCTTTCACTTCTCAAACAGATCTAATAATGTTTTTTATGGATTTTCAAGTAGACGATTACGATTGTATAAACTGATACTTCGCTTATACAGTTGATTCTATTACTACTTACGTGTGCTTAAATGAAGTGTACTGTATATACATATATATACATATATATATATATATGTATATGCCATGTGTATAAGTATCTTTCACGTTTTAGTCTCTCTGAGGTACAGGTTTATTAAATAACAGGCATTCTATATGAATCATATGATGAAATACTATGCAAATACTAAGACCGATTCTAGTAGTTGTTTCAGTGGATCACTTCTAGAAACTTTAATCCCATTGCTAAAAAGATTGAACTATATCACTTTGACCTTCATGTAGGATCATATTAAGGTTTCTTTCATCTAAATTCTGCTTACTTTTACAATCTTGAACCAAAATCAAAATGTGAGTCAAGCGATGGAATATATGAACATGTGAACGCAGTGGCGTTACCTTCCGTTTTCTTGTTACTACTCAGATAACTCAGCTTTGATAAAAAGAGTGAAGCCTATGGGCATGGAACTGTGACATCTTTTTCAATGAAAAAAAATTATTTATTAACACACCCAACAACTTACTACAGTACTGAAAGTTGCAAGAAGTTAACAAAACAGCCAAAGATGAGATTTAATGTCAAAGTATCATTCGACTAACACCTGTATTAGTTGAATTTTCTTTAGTCTTTCTTCCCTTCTAATAATCTATAAGTTATGAATATTAAATTAGGCCTACAGTATCACTGTAGCATCAAATGTTTAGTAAGTTATACCTTTTCTTTTTACAATTTTTAAACTAAGTTACAGCTGAGTGTATGATTTTTGTAATCTAATAAAACAAGAACACATTAAATTTATCAACTGTTATAATATCCACTTCAATTTCTTTTCATAAAGACCTAAAATAAGGACTTTTTTTGAATGGAATGTTTTGTCAATGGTTTATTTGTCTAACCAAAAAAAATAATAAATAGTAAAATGAAAAGTAATAAAGAAATTAACTGAAGCAATTGAAATATCCCAAGTTAGTAAATACTTATGTATAGTCCATTGACTTCCTGATTAAAATATTGAATGGAAAATTTCAGTGTGCTTAAGTGAACAGAAATATGTGTGTACAAAATTTGAGCTGATTCCTTTGGGAACAAAAAACCAATCGCTTATTTCTTTTTCCTCTTCTTCTTCTTCTTCTCCTCCTGCTTGACATAATTTGTCTCCTTCATCTTATCTGGCTCAAACCAGTTGTTTAAGTGACAGAAAAAGTTTACTGGTGACTGGGTATTATGTGATTAGTTTAAGCTATTTATATATATGAGTATCTAGCTATGTCATAAACATACATACACGGGTGACTTCTATTCTGATGGTGAGTTTTATTACCCATAACGTCTGTTTTGAAAAATGAGATTACGAAATTCCCTAAAACTTAAAATGTCTAAAGTGACTACGAATATGCTTATACTACTGATGTTAGTATAGAATTTGGTCATTGTGCTCTTAAACATATCATATGACACTGATATGATTATGAAGAATAAATTTTGCTCGAAACTTCATGCATTTATCGATACTGTATCACTGTATGTTGTGTAAAATAAACTTATCTAATATGGAGTTGTACTACTAAACCTACACAGTTTGTTGAGAGATGCGTCTACGATCACCTGTTGGTTATGCACTATGTAAGATATGTAACAAGTAAGTTTTTTCGAGAAATCTTTGTCTTGCTTTAATCCTATACTTCATTGCGTTGCTTGCCAGTAATTGTACATCTTCAGATTTAGGTTATCATCTCACTCCTATAATCCTATACAACGTGTTGCCTTGATCATCTTTATCAAGGCAACGTAAAAAACATTTTTAGTATAAAATATGGAGCTGGTAAAGAGGAAAGGTTGGGCATGAGGCTAACAACCCCATCCTGTAAAAATAATCACTGCTACAGAAACTTCAAGCCCCTAGCTTGGAGCCCTATGTTCCACTGGGAACGTGAAGGAATAAAAAAATGGAGTTATTTCGACCTGGTGCAGAAAAATAATGACAGCTTTATTCTCAACAAAATGTCTACACAATGTACCTAATCTTATGGGCAATGCCTTGCATAATATTTTCTCTTCGTCCAGGATCCTCAGTTACAATTTATAATCAATAGTATATCGCGTGACGAAATGTTGTTCTTCGTCTCCTTCGAGGCTGGGTTGAAATTCAACTAAAAATGTACGCCAGTACATTTTGCGCTCCAAAGACATAATTGAATGATTAAAACAACAAGAAATGAAGAAACTTTACATCATCATCTTGGTGGTTGAAAATTCAGGTAGTCGAGTGATTTAAGCAAGCTGTCAAAATTAAATATTATTCTGAATCTCAAAATTTCGAAACTTTCCAACTCAACTTTACCAACAAAGTTGTTATTGAGAAATTCCTCCATAAGTGGAGCTAACTCTATTTCTCTTCCTTTTTATTTCATGCATGTTTATCTAGTTATCAGTGAGCATGAAAACGTAGTTGCTTTTTACAATAATGTAAACATAGATTTCTGATTCTTAATCCACCTTCCTTGCACCGTATAAATTAATTACTGTCGTCAGACCGAAAAACTACGCCTATGAAGTTTTTTTTAGAATCACCGACTTCAGATGTTTATCTTTTTGTTTTACAATTGAGTTTCTTTTGACATTTTATCATATATATGACATTATCTTTCAGTAAGCGGCTTCCGTTAACTTTTCTGCTCATTGTATAGTACATAAATTTATCATGCACTGTTTTCTACTGTCTTTTATTTAGTACCAAGTAGTATATTGTCACGGTTTACTCAACGTTCAGACAGTTTAGCCAGTACTGTAAAGCGTCATTCCCTTGCGCCTCACAATAAAGATGAGACTCCTAATCTGTTAAATCCACGTAAATCACTAGTAGAAACTGGAAAACCGAGACTAGGACAACTAACAAGAATCAAGATTACAATAACAGAGAGTACTGAATTTAAGGTTAGTTTGCAATGTCATAATTTTGTTTGTTTGTTTTTGGTTGACACTTTGTACCGATAATGAAAAAAAGAAGTAATTTTGCATTATTCTATAGACATTCGCTTTGTTCAATCTGTCAGCTAAATGAGTATGGATATAGCATGAATCCTTGTTGTTTTATCAACCATTATCATGATTAATGTTTTCAGTTTAGTTTTACTGTGTTATGGTTAGTTGAACACACACTGTATGCTTGTTTAAAGACATTTCATGTAAAAAAAATGTACGTTGATGGTATAAGACATATTGCCAAGCCAATTAAATGCAAAGGAATATGAGTGGACTAGAAACTGGACGCATTCATTCGATTGTATTTCAATAGCTTATCAACATGGCGTATGCTGTTAGCCGAAAAAAAAATAGTAGCGAACTAATTTTAAAGTCAGGAAGAAAAGGATTTGTCATATGGCTTAAAAACTGTAATTCGTTCAAATGGAGTAACAGTCTTTCTCGTCTTCATGTTGTGCTTCTGTGTATTTCAGGAGTTTGACATGTTCCTTTACTTTTATTCTAGCAGAAAAGTATCCTATTTTTACCCATGAACGAGATGCTTTGATTCGAGGCATGTCTACAAAGCTTAACTAATTAGTAATGCACCTATAGGTAAAGCTTGTTGTATAATAACGAAATGTATTCGTTAAAAAACACTGAGACTATACGTCGCAATGAAAACTTGTTTTTTCTTGATAACAGTTAGAGAAGGTCATCGGAGGTAATTCCTCGTAAGCGTTGCCTTTATTCATAGTTACATCAAAATATTATTAAATATTCAGATTTTAGGTTTTCAGGGATTTTAGTTAGTTTCAATATAGACTTCACCAAGAACCGACATGAGTTGCAAAATTATTGGAAGCCAAGGAGCATTAAACACAGGTGTTGGTCCTACTTGGTGTTTTAGCTTTTCAATGTATTGAATAACAAGAAATCTTTGGTGAATATATTCAAAATCCAAAAATACCCAGATCTTTAGTATCAGTTACTTGCTTATCAGTAACTTAAGCATGAGTGCTCCAAAGTTCTGATGAAAATCCGAAGCCATTTGGATCCATCGTGTTACATGTAAAACAGATTTTCATTGGTGGGATGGGTTGTCTGTGGTGCTGTAGTGCGAAATGACTGAAGTTTGAATTCACGGGCCATTGGGTCCCAATCTAGTGGTATAACAGTCAGCCCCACCTTGTAACTTGAAGGTTCTCAGTTGGAACTCTGTTTGGAGTCTTGTTTTATGGCGAAACAGAGGTCCAGTACTCTTGGGTTTCCAGTAATTCTCTTACTGATGTCGTTTCGTAATGTAACCTATACTGTTTATATATTATTATTATTGTTCCCTTGGGTTCCTAGTGGAACATAGGGCTTCAACTGCACGCCTCCACTTGTTTCTGTCTTCTGCTGTACTTTTCACCTGCATCCATGTTAGTCCATACTGTTTCAACTCTTCTTCACATGATCTCCTCCATGTCATCCTTGGACGTCTCACTTGCCGCTTCCTTTTCGGGTTCCACTCAAGGGCCTGACGCGCGATGTCACCCAACGGCCTCCTCAGCGAGTGTCCAATCCATCTCCACTTTCTCCTGCATATTTGTTGGGCGATTGGTTCTTGTTTTGTTTGTTCCCATAGTTTCTTGTTGGTGATTCTTTCCGGCCATCTGATCTTGAGTATAGAACGGAGACAGTTGTTGATAAAGGTCTGCAACAGACTGTTGGAAATATTCTTTGTGACCCGCCAAGTTTCTGATCCGTATAGAAGAACTGACTGACTTGACGTTTGTATTGAAAATACGAATTTTGTTGTTGATGCTGAGTGACGAAGATTTCCAGATTGGTTTCAGGTTGATGAATGTGTTTCTCGCCTTCCCGATTGTCGATTTGACGTCCTCGTCCGTTCCTCGTGTAGTTGAGACAATGCTCCCTAGATAAGTGAAAGAAGTAACCTCTTTCAAATCCCTCGCGTTGATGGTGATTGGCGCTGGATGTTGCTGCTGCTGTTGTTGTTGGTTGGTTATTTTCATAACCTCCGTCTTGTCTATGTTCACCTGGAGTCCTGTCTTTGCTGCTTCTTCGACCAGTTTGTCGGTTTTCGCTTGTAGTTCTTCGATTTTGTGTGACATCAAACATAAATCATCCACGCGCGAAATCCAGGTCTTCTAGGTTCTTCACGTCGGTCCAGGATATCCCTGTCTTCTCGTTTCCCACTGTCTGACGCATAATCCAGTCCACCACATTTAGCAATATCATTGGTGATAATAAGCACCCTTGTCTGACTCCTGTGTTTACTCGAAACGCCTCGCTGAGTTTTCCGTTGTGGATCACTTGACATGTGCCGTTGTCGTACAGTTGTTGAATGAGGTTGATGAATATTTGCGGTACGCCGTAGTACTCGAGTAGTTTCCAAATTACTTCGCAGTCAACGCTGTCGAAGGCCTTCTCAAAGTCTATGAAGTTGAGGTAGAGATTTGATTGCCATTCCATGCTTTGTTCGATGATGATACGTAGAGTTGCAATTTGGTTAGAACATGATTTGCCTTTCCTGAATCCAGCTTGTTCTGGTTAGAATTCTGTATCCGGTGCGTCCTTTATTCTCCCCGGGATGATGCGACTCAGGATTTTACTTGGTGTCGACAGGAGTATGATTCCTCGCCAGTTCTTGCAGAGTCCTAAGTCGCCCTTCTTTGGTAGTTTCACAAGGTAACCTTTCCTGCAGTCAGTAGGCACCTTTCCCTCCTTCCAGACTTTTTGCAATAATGGAGTCAGCATATCCGCTACTGTCTCTGGGTCCGCTTTCAGTGCTTAGCCTAGATTACTAGCTCGCTAGTTTTCTAGCCGGTACCATGCCCGGATAAAGAGGGAGGGTTGGGGCGTCGTGCTAGTAACTCCACCCGCAAAGGTTAACCAAATTGCAACAGAAACTTCAACCTATACTGAAGTGCTTAAAAATTATTGATTTCCGTTGAATTTTTAAAATTATGCCTGACAGAATCAAATTCAATGATGTCTATGTTTGAGTTTCATCCTACATAGTACAGAGAAGAATAGTCATTTTACATACAATGGTTCTTATTTGTAAAATGAGTATCACATAATCTGGTAGTTCTATTACTTCGTATTTTTAAATACTTATAATTAAGACTGTGAACGCTGTTTCAAAATAAAATTGGAAACTTTTCTTTATAAAATAATGCGTAGCGAGAAATTAGTACGATTGGAGAAACTGAACTGATAAGAAATTCACCATTTCATACTTATATTTAGTTTTTTTATTGTTATTTTTCATGTTAAAAAGTCTTAATAAACAACATCGAATATTTTCCATTCTACTTCCATTATCCATTTATGATTACTCAGAAAAATTTTAAAGGATCACTTACTAATGCAAGCAGATAAATAAAACTGCCACTAATCATTGTATTGTTATTAATACTGATAAGATTTATCAGTAGTATATAAAGGAACGTTCATCAGCATAAAAATATCAAATAGTAAGGAGATAGATTTGGCGTCAAAGAAAGCAAATGATATAGCGTGGCGGAGAAACATGGGAGACTCGAAAGGAACACAAAGAAACACAATATGAAGGACAGAAGTAGCACAACACGAAAGATCTTTGCAGATGGTGATTTGAAGATAAGGTGTACATAATTTCGCCAAATAGCGATACCGAGTTTCTTGTCTCCTACCGTCACACTATGATTAATAAATCACTGGGCAAATTAAACTATACCTGAAAAGTTTCAGTGTTTATCTCTGTTTTGTTTGAGAATGCTGCAATATCTTGCTCTGAGCTTGGTAAAATCTTCTGCACTATAAATAACTAATCATGAGTCAAAATATCCGTCTCATTTCCGCCTTACCTTTAGAAATACATCACACAGGTGTATGCAAATAAATGAAAATCAACTTCGGAAAACCACAAAACATGAATCTGTATATGATGACTAGAATTTCTTTAGTAATATTATAGTTAGGAATCTGAAAGAATTAACCTCTTTTACCTACCTGGGAAGCATCGTCTCAACTACAGGCGGAACTGACGAGGATATCAAAACAAGAATCGGGAAAGCAAGACAAGCTTTCACTACTCTCAAGTCTGTGTGGAGGTCAACAACACTCAGCATCAAAAATAAGATCCGGATTTTCAACTCCAATGTGAAGTCGGTCATTGCTACTATACGGATCAGAGACTTGGCGCGTCATAAAAAGCATCTCAAACAAACTACAGACCTTCATTAACAGTTGTCTTCGCTCAATACTCAAGATCAGATGGCCAGCCAGAAAAGATCAGCAACAGGGATCTCTGGCAATGAGCGAGCCAACGCAGCAGGCACCGATTGTGAAACAAATAGGCAGGAAGAAATGGAGATGGATTGGCCATACTCTGAGGAAGCCATCAAGTGACATCACTAGACAAAACATTGCTCGAGTGTAACTCGAAAGGGAAGCGGCGAGTTGGTCGTCAGTGCGAGGGTGGGGTGACTTGGAGGAGGTCATGTGAAGAGGAGATGAAAACGTGTGGGCAGACTTGGAGCCAGGTGAAGACTCTAGCAGAGAACAGAACGCAATGGAGACGCACGGCTGAAGCCCTATGTTCCTCTAGGAATTAAAGGAAACAATAATAATAATAGTTAGGTACTAGCATTCGAAGAAAAAGGAGAACCTAGAGGCCCTAATTGCTTTTATGAATACGATGCAGCATGAAATGTGAACTTACAGTGTACAAACACGATATTCAGTGTGTTATGGGCAAATGAAATTATGCTTTCAGATTTTTTTGACAACATTATACTTCATTGATGACTGTCAACGATTAAATTGCACACCTGATTTTTATCTCAATGTAGCTAAATACGTTTTTTGACTTTTAATCTGACCAAGCGTACTAACTCCGTTGAAACTAATCTCAGCTTTTTAGTTGTGTTTATGAAATCGAAATATTGTACTGTATTTCATGAATCATGGGATGTAGACACTGTCAGATGTCAGTGCGTTCTTCTCCAGGCTTTACTTATCTGGACTTTGTTCTAAGTCACTTTATTCCATAGTAAGGCTGAAAACTTGCTGAGTGCCAGTTTTTTAAAACAACTCTCTTTTTGAATTTAAAAAGAATTAATAAAAGTTTATAGAACTTTGCTTATGACTGAATTCTTGAAAAATCAGTTGAAGTCGTATGATAAAAACAGTATTTATTTCTTCATAACGTTAGTACAGTTTTGCAATTTCAGCTAAAACTGATTATATGTCGAAACAATTTTTATAAACTCTTTCACACTGGCACTCTCTGCTGGTAATACAAATTATTCACCTTTGGTTACATGAAATATTTATTACTTCGTCATGAAAAACACTACATAATAGTGTCGCTAAAATTGGTCTGAAGTCAAAATTAAAGGATAGGGTTCAGCTGTCAATACTTAGAGAACAGTGTCAACTTAACCTTTTTACAGAATACAAGAATAAACTGAAATCGATTTGTCTTGGCACATTGAGATCTATGTCATATCTATCACAGCAATAATTTTTATTTCCTTTGTTGTGAAATTTTCTTAATAATATTTGTCTTCGTTTCTGTCAATATTACTTCATATAGTAATCAAAAATATTTGACTTGAATTTCGTGTATTAATTTGAATAAGGTTCAAAACGTGTCGTACTGAGAGAGGCAGCAATAACTGTCTTTAGAAAATGGTTTATGGTCAGAGGTTACAAACAGATATAGACTGGACGCCACTTGAGTAGATTGTCCAGGATGCTGTTCAGATTCCATTATTATTACTAATATTAACGTCACATTGGGTTTCGAGTGGAAAATAGGGCTTCTTCATCAGACCTCCATTTCATCCCGTCCTCTGTAGTTCTCTTTAGCCGGCCCCATGATTGCCCATAAGTTTTCACCCCATCCGAAGACGATCATTTCCACGTCATTTTCGGATGCCAATCTCATCTTTCCCCAGGCGGGTTCAACTCGAGGCCTGGGGCAAAGTGTGTCTGATCCATCTCCATTTTCTTCGGCATATTTGTTAGGCAACAGGTTCTTGATCACTTTGTTGACAGAGTTTCCTGTTGCTAAACCTTTCTGACCGGCCTTCTGATCTTCATTATGGAGCGAAGGCACCTGTGGATACAAGTCTGCAGCCTACCGGAAATTTTCCTCTTGACACACTGTCTCTGAATATAAAGAAAAACTAACTTCACACTAGCCTTTAAAATATGAACCTTGTTTGTATGCTGAGTTCAGAAGATTTTCACACCAATTTCAGATTAATCAAAGTCTGTCAGGCTTTTTCGATCCAGCCTTTGAGATCCACAACTGTGCCACCTGTAGTTGAAACGACATTGCCTATATAAATGAATGAATTGACTTCCTTCAAATTTCTCCCTTTGATGTGGATTGGTGTTTGTTATTGTTGGCTGGGTATCTTCCACACCTCTGTTCTCTTAATGTTCACTTGGAGTCCTATATTCGCTGTATCTTCTGCCAACTGAATCGCTTGGACCTGGATATATTCAAGTGTGTCTGAAATGAGACATAAATTGTCCACGAAATGCAAATCTTGTAAAGTCTTCTTATCGGTCCAACGTATTCCTTTCCTCCCGTTCGTCACGGTGTTTTGCATGATCCAGTCCACCACAATTAGGAATACCATCGGCGATAGTAGGCAACCTTGTCTTACTCCCGTCTTCACTTCAAAAGCTTCACTGAGTTTTCCGTTGTGAATCACTTGACATGGAGCATGATCGTACGCCTTTTTAATGAATGTTTAGGGGCGATTAGATTCTGACTGGTTCCTCTTTCATCAGTGATGACATTACCAAAATTCGAATTAGTTTCTCATATCGATTGATGAATTCATCTGTCCGATGTTGTTGTGTTTTTTGTTGTTGTTTTGATTGAAGTAAATAAAGCCAACCAATCTTTCTTTTTTAAAATATAAACACAAAATAGTTCATGTCAACTGTCTTTTATTTTTCTTCTTTAGAGGTTTTATTCTTGTATGGTTGAATTGCATTCATCTTTTCATGATAGTTTTTTTTCCTGTTAGAATAATAGGAAATTAACAAAAGCCTACTTGTAAATCTTTATTCATCAAGATAACAATTGTTTTCTGTCAGTTATCTGTGCAGTTTTCTTTCTTCTATTTCTCAAAAATACACAGAAGTAAAAGTCAATAAGGAGATGAATCGAAATATATATATATGAATATATCTGTAGGGAACTTTATAGCGAACTCTGTAACACCACAAGTATTTCAATAAAAATCCAAGTTAATGAAACGATAGTGTGACTGTATATTATAAAAAATACAGTTTAAGTCCGCTGCTACAAATTATTAATATAACCCAAAATAGTGTTCACTGCTACCGCCATGTCTGCTGGTAGAAGCTGTGCACCGGTTGTAGAATAGTCTTCGGATGAGGATGAAAGGTTCCTGCAAAATCCAAAGGACATAACATGGTTAGTAGTGAAGCGATTAGACAGTATGGACCAGTGAGAAGACGAAGCGTCGAGCAGCACACTGTCTTTTAGATTCCACTCCGAAGTTATTTATATTTTACCGTGAATCCTTTTAAACAAAAGTTGCGTACAATGTTTCTATTTTTAACGTCTAACAAAAAACTGTACAACCGTATTGTTACAGACTCCACATATCTAAACATTCATTATTACTGTTATTGTTCAGTGTAAATCCTGTGATGCCGTTTTTAAAATAGAATAGAATGAATGTTGGGTCTGAAGAAATTGTGAGCAGAAACTGTTTAACCCAACTTTAAAAAAAAACTGTTGTTTCTTTTACTCAGATAATAATTAAAAATTTTAATGTCAACTAGTGTTTCTCTCTCAAATACTTTCAAATCTAGCTAACTAATTGATGTGCTAAATACTGAACGCTTCAGTTATCGATACATCTGTAATCTTCTCTAACACATAAATGCTTTATTAAACCATATTTGTTAACTTGTACAAGACACCGATTAAATCCACACAACAAAGTAATGATAATTTATATGTAAATGCAAAAGCCTACTCATAGAAGAAGCTTGAGAGGTGGGTAACACTTCTGAGTAGAAACGAATAAGTGTCAGAAAAAATAACACAAAATATTCCTTATTCAGAATGATATTGACATTAATTACCAACCATTTTAGATTATGTGGATGAAGTCACCAGTTTATCATTTTTGTTTATTGCTCATTGTAATTTGTCATAATAGACATTGTCTTTTCAAATAAAATGAAAAAAGTTTCCTTCCGTTAGCATCTCCAAAATAATGCTCAAACAAAACATCTTAAAGGATGATACTGTATAAAACTAAGCTACATCACACTGAAGCAACCTAAAGACGTTGATGTTGTTTACTGTGGGCAATAAAAAAGTCACATAGAGAATTTAATCAGACTATAGATAACACAAATTAGAATAAATTTGTATAGTTGGTTGGAGGATTTCATCATGAGTTGACATCAGTTAGAGAACTATTGGAAAACCTGGGAGTACTGGACAGCTGTTACATCCTAGTTTGGGACTCTTCATCAGTACGCGCCCACTGGGGTTCGAAATAGGACCTTCTGGTTACAAGGCGAGCTCGTAGACCATTAAGCCACTGGAATTTGTCCCAAGATAGGACGAAACAGCTGTCCAGTACTCCCAGGTTTGCGAATGGTCCTCTAACTGATGTCAGCTCATGATGAAATCCTCCAACCAATTTAACAAAATCGCCAAAACACCAGTGCTTGAAAATTTGTGTAGCACTGTATAGCATCGTATACACTATCTTTGTTCATTTCTTTTTTTTCTAGCACACAGTTGATCGATTAGTTAAACAAGGTAAATGGTCACTAGTGGTTGGTACATCGTCTTGGAAGGAACAATTCATTGAGGCGATCACTGTCAGTGCTGGTATGTTTTCTTTGTTTTAGACATATTGCAATTTTATTGAATTTTCATATCGTTTTTTTCTCCATTCAACATAGCTTGCAACGTTAAAAAACAATGAAAATCACAGTTCCCATTTTTATCATTTACTTAACATGCATAATGTCTCCTTTTGTATCTTGACATTCTCTCACTAACAATCATTTGAAATCTAAAAAGTTAATTTGTTTTCTCTTGGTTTTTCATAATCTATCATTGACTTGATGAAACGTTGTTGTTTTCCATGTAAAAGTTCTGACTCAGCGAAGCCATTTTTCCCAGGTATTTTGTGTAGAGTTATATATTTGTGAACAAGAACAAATGCCTCTGAGCCGATGATTCCATAAAAATGTATTTATTGATAACGGCTGCTTTCAAAATCCACAGTGAAATCGACTTAAAATGAAATATGACCAGTATCTTAAGTAATTCCCAGTTCCATTCTGTAGTTGTGGTAATTTGTTTATTCCTGGTACATGTATCTAAGTAGGTTGCTAACGAGTGTGCTTTTCAACAGACAGCCAACTCTTTTTAATTTGTGAAGCTTGTAAATCATAGAAGTTAACAAATGACAATTACTTTTGTATTTCAATAATTCTGCAGACGCTTAGTGATATTTTAAATAATAATTTGCTGTTATTTGGCTGATGTTGGCCGGCACTGAAATTCCATTTGAGACTCGCCAGTTGGATGTACATGCATCCCCGATGAGTGATTTTGTTCCCACAGTGAGGCTCGAACTCAAAACGAGAAATACAAGTAAACTAAGCCATCGAATACTTTTCTATTTTGTGAACAAGGTTAGGGTTACTGTGCAGTTTCAATACTTAACTTATTCAACCGTGTACCAAGTTGACGGGTTAGAATTTGAAATTCTAATATAAAACTGAAGTTTTCAAATTTTGTCTACCGTATTCTGTTGCATTGACTCGAACATTATACCTACGAAAATCGCTTCCGTCAATATTCATTGAAAAGAAGAAGAATTTCGTCTTATCATTTGTCCTGTTGTATTTTATCTGGTTCGTATATTAAGATGCTGTATTCTGTCATTTTGAGTAGGTTACATGTACCTGCTTACATCGAATTTCGTCATTATCGCATTTAAACTGTGATAAATTTGATGCCATCTGTGCTAAACAACTGTAAGACGCGTCTTTTTTTGTTTACTAAGAATATGGAACAAACAACTGAATCAAAAAGATATTTAATTTGCCTATTCTTGTAGAACTCTTCAACTCAACAACCTAAGTACATAATCATTTCCATCGTATTTCTGAATTGATATGCATGTATGAATAACAAGACAACAGGTAAACAAATAAATTGTTAAAACGTTTATTTTCACATGTGAAAATGACGACTGGTTGTCAATAGGTGGACTTGGCAGCATGTGAATCACATCGTGCGATGTTAACATCAGTTAGAAGTATCTGCGGCAACCCAGCGATTGTGACTGTGCACCATAATGTAGATAGTTACTTAATTATCTGTATTCACTGATGACTTTGAAATACTTAATAACCTTAAAGTTATGAAGTTTGTCTTACAGAAATCATGTCATCTAACTTCTTGGGATTATATCATAAAATCACATCGATCAATTAGACCAATGTTCACGTCCTCAAGTGAAGTGTGTTTCTGTGCAAGTCTGATTAATTTACTTCTTTAACTATACACCGACTAACACAATTATTTTGGAAATAGCCGATGACTGTCACTGACTTATCTTAGATACTGATATATTCTGTTCCTATGTTTGTGTGGCGTTTTTTTATTCCTTTAGGTTCCCAGTGGAACATAGGGCTTCAAGCTAGAGGCTTGAAGTTTCTGTAGCAGTGGTGATTATTTTTACAGGATGGGGTTGCTAGCCTCATCCCCAACCTTCCCTCTTTATCAGTCTTATTACTGGCTTAGCGAGGTGAAGGAGTGTGTTCAGTGGCTGGGGATCGAATCCCGGACCATCTACGTGGTCGGCGAGCACTCTACCGCTATGCCACCGACGCACTGTGTGTGGCGTTAAAGAGCCCATATCTACTAATGCAGAGGCAGACTTCAAAGTTATCAGTTTATTATAAAATAAGATTTGAACTTCCTGAATTATTTTTAATTCACTTTAGTTGCTTGATTCACTAATCGTATTAGGCATAATCGTATTCTGAGTGTCTACTCTCATTAATTTTGGGCAGTTAAAACTCAATTTTAATGTAATGGTAGAATTTCGGCAGCATGCCAGAAGATAATTCCATATTATATGAGTTTATTTGATATAACACACTGACGCAGTGTTAATCATTAGATGACGTTTGAAACACAATTTATTGCTCACAAACATATCAGTCTATCTACTCAATTTCCCGCTTCTTCCTATTTTTAATACAATTTTCCGTACATCTGAAATTGGTTTTACGTCACTCCTATCGCGTTGACTCGATGACCAAATATTCGGTAATTAACTCTCCTCTCTCTGTCAACCTAACTATATAATTTTTAATGCTTTAATCCTATCCCACTTTACTCTCTAGTTACATGCAAGTTGCAAGCATCTCAGTGGTCGAGCTTTTTTATGGATGACTTGACCCGGTTCGGTCATTCTATATCAGACTAAATTTAGATGTTCTGATAACCTAATTGATCCCCATCGACTAGTTTGATCTATGTAATCGACCTCACAGTCATTGCTGATGATTAACTTACTTGTCTAATTGAGTTATGTTTTGTAGGCGATTGGTTCGGAAACCTAAAACAACACAAACCAGTGGTCACTGTTCACTAAACTTGACCCATTTATACAAAGCTATACTGATACTTCGGTAAAATTACTTGTATCTTTCTTTGAATATTCATACATATGAAGAAAATATACTTAAGCGTTATTACACACATTTACTTGGCTGATAGATGTCAACCGTTAAGTACCCACAGGTCATAAGTTGAACTGATATGTGATACATTCACTGCACTTATCCCTAGTTGAAATATGCTATGAATTTGGAAAGAACAGAAATACTTTACTGATAAATGTGATCAAGCAAATTACGTTGATTAACTACGAATTCTTATTAAGTCATTTCTAGTTCTTTTGAATTTTTTCTTTACCTTTTTGTGCTATATCAAGTGTGGCAACTTGAACTGCTGCAAAGGTCTACCTTGAAACTCAGTCAGTCAGTTCGTCATATGCCAAGGTTGTAGTACATTTCCACTTATGAACTGTATTGCATAAACAGCTGACAGAATTACGGTAGAACTTAGGACTCAACCAACACAATAATAAATGTTCAGAGATAGGTATATATCAAACTTTATGGAGCGATAATATAGTATTTACTGGAGATACACTTAATTTCCAACAGTTACATAGCAAGTTTAGAATTCCCAAAGTCATAAAACCAGTGAATAGCATATCTGTTGTATTTTAATGAAGAAAAACTAATATTGTAAAGGTGATATGCATTTTTCTTGAGTTGATTAGTCTCTGGATTTTAAGTGTAGATTAATTTTATTATCTTCTACTTCATATTTATTAAGATAAATGATCGAATACTTTACGAAGAGTAAACAACTCCTGTCCAATTTATTATGACATTTCATTTACTATATAGGTGCATAGAATATTTCAAAATTTCCACTTCACCATTCACTAAAAGGCTCATACTGTTTTTCCAGTGTAAAACTAGAGTAAACATCTTAGAAGGTAGACTATTTGCATATAAATCCACTCTGTCATACTTAATACGAGTACATTGATGAAAAACTAATTAAATTTGAGGAGAAAAAGAAGAAAACTAAACACATTATTCGAGATAAAAATAACCAGAATATGTGGATCACTAAATTTCGTTTCCCTTCAGAGACTCAGGGATTGACTTGCTACCAGGGAATAATCTCGTTGACTTAGAATATGCAGACGATATAGTCTTTCTAGGTGAGGACGCTGACAAAATGCAGAGTCTTCTGAACATCTTGAGCTGCAATCTACGAATGTTTGGTATGCGATTCGCTCCTGCCAAATGTAAGATGATGCTACAGGACTGGACTACATTGATTCCTATCTTAGAAATAGGAAGTGAAGTGGTAGAGCACGTTGACCGCTTCACTTATTTGGGAAGTACCATCAGCCCCAACGGGTTGATCTCGGACGAAATCTCAGCACGAACACATAGGGCTAGTTTCGCATATGCCAGTTTACATAACAGGTATTCTTTCCTGTAAGACTGTACTCATCCATTTATCGGTAGGAAGTTAAACCCAACTAAAAGTAAAAAGTGTACACAAATATACAAAATCCGGTCTGAAGTTGTTTTACTGTTTCATTTTCAAAAGATTGATTATTGAACAAAGAATATTCTTTTCGATAACCTCATCAACAGGTACTACAGTTATATATCCATAATAATGAAGGATGATTGTTATTGTCAACATTAGTGGCTTTAACAAAGTGTAACATTGAATCGTTCAGATCAGAATTCCATGAGTTATTTGCAATTAGACTGTTAATAGATTATAGTCCAAACTATGTGTGCATGTGGTAATATGTAAAATTGTAATACTAAACTGAACACTAATATTACAAAGTAAATGATTAGGAATGACAACGAATGTACAGTAATAAGTCCTCATGAGTCATGTTCAATATTAAGTTCTATTTATACTGATTATAAACTTCTGATGGATAAATGATCATGTCAAGGACGGGGCCTCCCCATTCGGTCTCATGTTGGCAGATTTCTTTTTAAGCATACTAGAGAATGGTCCTTTGAACAATTTATCGAAAATTTCATTTTATTTCCGGTATATGGATTACACCTTTATTCTTTTTGATAATCATTCGGATTGAAACACGGTAATAATTCAGTTCAATGAAGTACATTCTGCTATGAAATTCACGTGCGAAGAAAAATCCCAAGATAGAATTGCCTTCCTAGATGTCCTCCTTACAAGAAAATCAGATGGTAGTATAATCAGAAATGTGCATAAGAAAGATA